CAGCGCCCGGGGACAAAGCGGCAGCGAGCGCCGAGCGAGGGGGCCGGCGCGGGGCCCCCGACATGGCGTAGCTCACACGGCGAGCATGGTCTTTGTCCAACTTTTCTGATGCCGGGAGGCAGCGCGGCACGGCTCTAGCGGGAAGGGGTCCTGCCAAAGCTGAGCAACACCGGGAAGAGAAGGAGGTGCTGCTGGAGCAAAAGGTACTGCACCGTGAGCCCGGCCGAAGAGGTGTGAGGAGGAGAGCACATCGTCTGGGATATCCTCGGGGCTCTACCGCCCTAGAGGGGGGAAGAGAGAAGAAACCAGGTACTGCTTCTGAGCACAATTAAAACTCCTAACGTTGTGGGTGTGTTTGGTTTTTGTTTTTTTTTTTTTTTGTTCGTTTGTTTTCCTTTACCGATGTCTGTGCTGTTTTAAATCTGTGTTACTGGGGCTCGGAGTGTCCAGGGAGCCCCTCCCCAGCCCACCCCTCCTGTCACGCTGTGTATGAGCAATGAGAGAAGAGCTGTATGAAATCAGGTCATGGCTTGCTGCTCGTGGAAATTACTACCAGAAGCAGACACTGTTCACGCATGCATGGTTTGTTTGGTCTGCTCCTTTGCTTTTTTCCATCTCTCTCTGACTCCTTTAGGAGCAATAGTTAAACACTGCTTTTGCATTCCCTGAAATGAGGAGGCAGGGATAGATGTGCACTGTGGTGTATACTGTTCCCTGATCTTGGTGGAATGATAGCAGGACTGCTTTGTGGCCCTTTCTATGGGCAGGGTTGTTTAATGCTTTTGTGGGGAACAGAAGGCTGCATGAGTGTTTGTGGCAGAGAAAAAGCTATGCTAACCTGTTTTCAAGGAGGTAGTAAAAGTTACTACTACCAACGCTAAATAAATCTGTGAATGTGGGAGGGATTGCTGTTGCAATGGGTAGTTTTAGCTTTGCCTTTCATGGATCTACTGAGGTGATTTCACTTACTCTGAAGTCTCCGTTGCTAACATCGCACTGATTTAGTTGAGGAGAAAAGTAAATTTCACCTGCCTCCCGCATAAGTTCTAGGAATAAAAAGAGTAAAGATAGCGAGGCAAATCTCCCAAGGTCAATGCAGGATGATTCTCCAAATCATCTTTCGTTAGCGGTGATACAAAGTTATGCAGATCGATCAGGAAGGAGAGTGAGAGGGCAAATGGAAACAACAAAGTGGAGATGGGGGGAATGGAGTAGCTGCTACCAGTCACATCTGTTTCAGAGACAGATTTGCTGCCTCAGCTGGGTTGAACAAGGGAGGCTTCTTTCCTCCTTGTTCTTACATCGATCCTTACCAGAAGCATGGAAACTGGACATGGCTGCACGTGTGTTTAATCACAGCTGATCCACCTGCCCCTGAGCCACATTAATACAGGATTGTACTGACTATTTTCAGTTTTTTAGCTTTCTCTTTTCCCACTTTGAAATCATTCCAGTGCTGAGGTTCCTTTAGAAGCAGAGAGGAGGTAGTCTGCAATCTAATAATCCTTTTTGTTAGATGTTACCTGATCTCTGTCCTGGGGAGAGAGGGAGAAAAAAAAAAACTCTTTAAAGTTTAGTTCCTAAATTCCCAAAATCCCTTGTGCCACCTTAATTTTGCTAGGCTTTTGGCAAGCCTCAGACAACTGCAGGTGATTGCATCCTTTCCTCTATTGCCTTTTGCACATATGCACTCTTAGGCCTAAGTTAGACATATGCAGTTTTTAATTCTTTGTCATATATTAGTCTGCCTCTCTAGCCTCTAAACATTCTTTCATGCTGTCTTCTGAGTTCCTTCCTATTTGTTAACGTCTTCTTGCACTGAGCTACACAGAACTGTAGGTATGGCCATGTGTTTTGATACTAGGGCTTTTGATACTGGCTTTTTTCTGCTGGGCATCAGACCTGTGAATCAAGCAGAATTGTGACCTCTTTAGCTTGAGCACTAAAACCTTGCAGAGAAAAACTTGTATCTTGCTTTATTCTGAGGTGCTCAGCTCTTCCAAGCTGTTATCTGGCAAGAATAGCTTGGGTTTATAGAGACCGTTTTTGGAGGGGCGTGAGGGAGGGATGGCTCTTTTCATTTCTTTTGCCCAGGGCTGCTACTGTCCTCACCTTGTGTCTTTGACTTGCAGGCTGAATCGTGACATGCTTTTGGGGGGAAAAGCAGCTGGTGTCCCCAAGGAGGCAGCTCCTTACTCTCCAGCATGCCTTGCCCCTGCAGGCTACCAACATGTGTCTGACAAAGATACCTGTTCCCACAGTCTGCTGAGGATCATCATCTTCATGCCTGTACAGCTTTTTTAGGGACTTTCCTCTTTGTGCCCACGTGCAGATGTCTGCCCCTTCTTTGAGATACTGAATGTGCACAGAATCATGCAGAGCTCCTCGTGGTTTCTCTCCCCTTACCTTGTGTGTTTCCATCAACAGAGAGTCCTTCTGTGGCCAGTTTGTCCTTCAAATAGTCTTCCCTGGCTACCTGCATTGTTAGGAGATTTATGCATGCTTTTCCTCTGGCCTCATGAATGCTTCCCTCTGTAGGACTGCTCCCCCTAAAACCTCCTCTTCCTTGTTATGCATACATTATCCTTCTGCAGCCCCTATGGGGAAGCTTCTCTTAAAGTTCCTGCAAATGAGTGCAAAAGTACTATTATTGCACAGCTCAGGTTGCACAGCCTATTTTAATATCTCCTTTCTGTGGCCATATGGAGTCCTATGTGTATATTTACTGCACACGCAAAAAACAGAAGATGCAAGAAGCAGAAGTTGGTATGTATGGTGAAACTTGATCTTTATAACACATTTTTGCCACACAAACCAAAAAAGGATGATATTGTAGAAAAGTGTTTATTCAAAACTCTCCAGATTGGGTGCTCCGTCTCATAAACATAAGATCATTTTTTTCAGAAGACTGAAAGAGTATTTTCTATGAAGAGAAAAGCGGACTAAAGAGAAGCTTGAGGAGGAAATTGATGAGCCTTCCTCATCAATTTTGCCTTTATTTCCTCTCACTTTTATTTTTAAACCTACTTTAATATCATGCTACTCTTGTACCTTGCTGTTAAAAAAGAAAATCTATGTTTGATCAGGTGCCTTTATATCATCTTGCAGCAATACAGGTTAAGAACATGCTTTTTCTAATGAGTGACTCCACAAATTCAGCAGTTTTCCAGTTCTTGAAACCTTACCATTAAGTTTCTGCATGTCAAGCCTTGGGCCAGACATCTCTGTTCTCTCTGTATTTGCTCTCTTTGGCAACTGCGCAACCGTATGGACTTCAGTGGGTGTGTATAAGTCTAACTTATAGGGGGTTATAGTAAGTAGTTTTGTTGATGTTGCACAAGCAGAAAACTCTCTCTCTCTCTCTCGAGTGGTGCAAACTGTGCAATGCAAACAGACCCCAAAAGAAGGGGGAAAAGGTCCTTAATTACTTATGTCAGCCACTGTGCTCTGACTCATGAAGAGCAAATCTACTATTTTATGTGGTCACTCTTCTCGCATTTGATTGATACCAGAAGTTGTATGTTTAACAAAGAGAAGTGAACCCACGCTTTCTTCTCAGAAGCATGGATTGTGCTTTCAAGAAGTATTCCTCTGCCTCCAGGAATAGCACTTTATTTTGAGTGCACTATTAATACATGTGCTGTTATAAAGGCAATTACATTTTGTAAAGATACTGGTGCAGTATTTTTTTAGTGGAAAATGCTGTCTTGCCTCAAAAAAGTCAACATGGAGAAGGCTGATTTTCCTATCAGGGAGGTGCTACCTGAGGACTGTTCTAGAGACCACTTCTGAGAAAAGCAGCAGCTTTGGGATTCAACTTCCTCCAGTCACTGGTTTCAAATTTCTAGGCCTTCAGAGACCCTTGAACAGTCTGATGCTCAGGGCTTGCATATCAAGGAAATTTTTGATCAGACCATTCATGCATGCGCACACACATGCACACGTACAGACACACAGTTAAAGAGGAGAGTAAAAGCACTATCCTGGGAGTAGAGAAGATGCTGGGTAGACTGAGAACACACCACTGTCTGCAAACTGTGTTTGCAAACAAGTGTGCAAAACTAGCCTTACATATGAAGCATAGGTCCTTAAGGTTTTGGTTTGCTTTAGGATGTAAATTCTCACCTGCTCAGACCTGTATATGGAAACATACACCACTTCATTTCCAGACAATCTTTTTGTTTTTTGTTTTTTTTTCTTTTTTTCCTCTCCAAACTTGCCATGTAAAAGAATCCTCTGCTGATTCGGCAGTTTCTAAGTGCAATTTTTCTCTGTACCATGTCTCTGAAAAATATTTCATGTGTGTAAATCGTGTAATTACATGCTGTAACCTACAGAGTGAAGACTACTAACTCTTTCTTACTTATTTCTGTTTTAACAAACTTTTGATTTTGCAAAGTGAATTGTGGAGTACTGATGTTCCTCCAAGTTATTGCAAGGCTTTCAAAGCTCCCTAAATGACCTGATCTTCCTCCTGCTTACTACAAGCACCCCTGTGATACGAATCTGTTTGGCCCAGTTGACCACTTTAGAGGTGCTATGTGGGAAACAGAAGCCTGTTTGGGGCCCTTTGTGTTAGGCTTACCACAGGTTCCCCCTCAGATCCTAAGGATGTCCACAACTGGAAGCAGGGTTCCTTGGCGGAACTTATTTTCTTCCACACAATCCTGTAGGAAAGTATGGAGTTTCACAAGAGGGGGGTATTATCGCAAAGAGATTTCTGGACAGGTTTTAGTTTGGAAATCAAAGCTTTGGAAAGTTTATCAAAATTGAACTTCCAAATGTTAAGTTTCACTCACTGCTAGGATCAACTTGATCTCAGTAAGCAGGATCAGAAATACTTTCTGAACCAGGGAAGCTGTTTTAAATTACTCTTCCTTGGCTCTAAGCCAGAAAGAAGAATTGCGAAAGCACAGCCGGATTGTGCTGCTTGCCTGCAGTTGTCTCCCAAATTGTCCCTTCCCTTGCTAATGTCAGTACGCTTTGAGCTGGTGCCAGCAGCAGTGGGAATACAAACATATACTAGCATTTTCACTTTTCAGTGAGTTTGCTAATTCTATTTGGAGCATATGTTGTTCATAAAGGGGCCAGAATATCCACAGTTATCAGTGCCATCATTATAGTGTCAGGAATGGAACAGGTCTGCTGGGGAGTGTTCATTTAATTACTGGTGGAAACAGGATCTTGATGGCCTTTCTCTCTCCAGTACCTCTCTGAGCAGTCCTCTGTGTTAGAAATCAGCAGAGTTGCAGTACGGCACGTTGAGGATTTGAGAGTCAGAAGAAATTGTGCTGACCTGTGTATATATT